TAGGGACATGAGAGACTTTGAGGTCAGAAGGCCTGGATTAAACCCCTGTATCTTCACTCATCTGTTGTGTGACCTTGGGAGATTACACCACTTACTGGAGTCTCAATTTGTCTGTAAAATTGAATTTTTATTATCTCCCTAACTTTCTTCACAAGGTTGTTGAGAACCTCAGTGAGACGATACATGGGAATATGTATTTACTAAACAATAAAAGACTATGTCAATGCAAATGATAATTACATTCTTATTTTATTAATTGTATTATATGACTATACGTATTCATGGAATCATGTTTTTATTGACATACAATGTGACAGAAGATAAAAGAGAAGCTCTGGAAATAAACTGGTCACATTTGAACTCAAACAGTTCTTCACTAGGTCACCTTGACCAAGGAGCTAACCCTCTCTGTGCCCCTGTTTCTTCATTTATAAAATGAGGATCATCACAGAACATACAGAGTAGGGTTTTGCAAGGATTTAATGTGTTAATAATTGCAGTGCACTTAGAACCATGCAGGAAGCTTAGCCATGGCTCACATTAGTTATGCCTTATATTTCTTATTAAAACAGACATTCTTTAAAACACCGATAACTTCTCTCCTTGGGCAATTAGAACACTACCCCTAATCTGTGTCATAAAGAAGAATTAAATCTATTGCTTTCTTATTTTGAGAGGTGATCAAAACCAAACAAATATTGTAGTAATTCAGTTGCTGAACTGATGAATAAAGCACCATAAAGGAACTCACAATTTGTTAGAAAGTAATTGTTTATATTGCTCTTGCCAACCTATTTTAACCGACAATCTGGCACAGAAAGGGGAATGGAAGTGCAGCCATTGTGTGGGTAACGTTCGTGGAGAAAAGGTCCTCTTCTGCCTGTCAGGCTTGCTGTGTCAGAGGCTGGTGAGCTCACATCCACTGAGCTTTGAGTCAGGGGCCTGATCTCAGAGCAGGATGATGTATGAGCAGAGCTAGGCTCCTTTGTGTTCCCAACAGACAAGGACAATGACAATACCCTACTAATGAAAATTTTGTTTGCCATTACAATGTCAAGGTTAATCATTCATTTCAAGGAGAGTTCCAGCCTTCGTTAAATGCATTATGTCCAGGAGTGAATGATGATGATGTATGAATCACAAGGTGTGTTTTCCTGTTTTGCGAAGTCTGGATTTTACAGCAAGGCCTTGAGTTAAGTGGATATTTTAATGACAGCATTTTCACTGGAATGCTTTACGTTATCATCACATCTTCTTTGAGCCTTGCAGCACCATCCAGTTAGATAGGTACTGGGAGTGCCCCGTCACTGATATATTTTGCAGATGTGTTTTAGAGAGTGAATAACTTGTCCAGGTGCATACAGTTAGTGGGTGATTAAGACAAGAGCCGCATCAAGATCATGATGGCATGAACTGTAAGCTAGCTGAGGGCAAGGAGAATGTAGAGGTGCATAGAGTTCCCCTTGGTAACTGAAACAGGGCCTTGGATGCAATCTGTGCCCAATTCAGGGTTTCAAGTGAATGACAGTCAGTGCTTCTAATAGTTTGATTCGGGAGTTGGAAGACTTGGCCTAAGAATAAGGGAAAGACTACTAAACATTCTGTTTTTTCCTTTTAAAATATGGAGACATTTAAGACTATCTATGTTTTATTTGTTTGAAGGGAGGTCAGATATATATATATATATATATATACATATATATATGTGTGTGTGTGTATATATCTATATATAAATTATCTTTTCAGTGTGTATCTGGCAACTTTCTCCAAGTAATTCAGACGGCTTCCACCTGTGATGTGTTCAAAATTGTAAATGGAAATTCTCAAGTTGTTCAAAAAAAGAGCATTAAAATCAAGGTACTGTTATCCCCAAGATATTCCCCTTCAAAATGACCTGACTATTTTAATTAAATCATCAGTAGGTTGATTTCATCTCATTCCTGATCCCCAAATGCAAAGATACTGGAAATGTCCTAGTAACCATGAAGGAAAACTGATGAGATTTAGTGGCTCAGGTAGGAAGTCATAAATTTCTAGATATCAAAAAATTAAGTATTGCTTCTAATCTCAAAAGCCCTGTACATAAGTACAGAACGTCTCAAATTTCCCATATTTACTTCTTCTTCTCATTGGAGAAATGGAGCAAATGATGCCGATGATGAGTGAAAGGGCTAAACAGCTAAGAAGCACCCTGACAACAGCTGCAGGAGTGCAAGGAAAGAAGTCAAGTCTTTGTTGTCTAATTGAATTGAAAACACCACATTCTTTTAGTAGAGATCTAAAGATATGGATACGGTCACTCTCAGAAAGCTAGCGTTGTTTTCATTTTGCTCCTTAAATGCCTAACTTGATGCTGTCATGTCATGACAGAGAAAACTTCAAACAGCAGCTGTTATCAGCTTTTTCATCCCTTTTGCCATCCTCCTCTGCTATCCTGCACTGCTGCATGGTTACCTTCTGCATCAAAACATCTTCATATCTCATAAACTGACAGAAAAAAAAAATCAACACACTCAAAGATTAGAGAACACACTCTTTGTTCTGGTGGGGCTTTGTTTTGGTGGGGGCAGGGGCTGGGTGGGCATAGGACTGTAGTTCTAGAGAAATGTGCTAGATTTTGAGATTCTGTATTTTATATATATATATATATATATATATATATATATATATATATATATATATATATATAAATCAAACTTTGCCTCTTGAAGAACATGTTAAAAACTCAAATTCCTGGGCTCTACTCACAGAGATTCACATTTGAGAAAGCGTTAGGAATCTGCTTTAAAAAAAGCATCCTAGAAGAATATCATGCATTTTCTTTAAAAAAAATAAACACTGTCATCATCTCTTTTACTCATTTGGCATTTTCCACTTTTCAAACTGCTTGCACATACATATTCAGTTCTGTGAGGTAGACGGGAATGAATATTCCCATTTAGAGGATAAGAAGGAGATTCGGAGCTCAGCAGTGATTTCCTCAAGGTCTCACTGTGTACCCCTCTCTTGCCCATTTCTCTGGATTTCTCACCTTAGCTGACTTTTTTCTTTCTGAGTGTTGAACTGCAAGAGGCAATGAGCCCCCAAAGGCAGCCAGTACTGTTTGTGCCTGCCTTCTTCAAGAATGAGACAAGCCCTTTGGTAGCCAAGGAAGGAAAATGTGTCATTTTATCTGTGAAATGTGAGCATTTCCCTAATTGACAGTGGTACCAATTGATTTTAAGTAATTTCCCTTACCACATCCAGATGCACTTTTGAAAATATATTCATCTGGCTTCACTTTTGAAGAAGAGGGGGTGGTGTGTGTGTGTGTGTGTGTGCGCGCGCGTATACCTTTTTCACTTGTCTTGTTCTGCATTGTTAGAATCGCAAGTTCATTGTCCTTATTCAGCCACACTGCTGCAGGGGATGTGAGTTCCCCATTGACAGTTGGGATTCCCCCTTCTCAGGGTGCTTTGCCTATTTAATCCTCCTCCCAGCTGTCTGCTCCGTAAACCCGTCTGCCTGTGTTATGCCCAGCGGCAGCATGAAAGATCCAGGCCCCCAGACACAGTGGGCTGTTAAACAAAGTGCTTACTCTGAACAACCTCACAGGCTTCAATCCTTCTCATTCTGCTAGGCCCACAGGTTTGTTCCCACATCTAGAGAATTTCTGGGCCCTCTCCAGATCCCATATCCATTTTCAATAGCTTCCAGGGCCTTCATGTTACTTGTCCACTGTTAGGGTATTTCCAACATACACCTGTTTCTGCTTGGAAAACATCTATTAAGTCTTTTGGCCCTACCCTTTGATGCTTGGTGAAGTGTCTGTGAAGGGGAGGGATTAGGGCTGTTTGAAGATTGGTTGAGGAGAGATTCTCAGTATAACTAATAGCTACTTCCAGGCCTTTGCATGAATGGAAGGTGACTACTCCTTTATATTTACAATTTTTTTTCATGCTGCATTTTAACTTGGGTGGCATTATCTCCTCTGCTGAGTTTTCTGTTACATCCAGCTGTCATCACAAGCACTCCTGGAGACCTGACTGCCCTCCAGAGCTGTTTGTTGACTGCCCTTGCCCACAGTCACCCTCTCACTCCACCTCCATTCTCTTCTCTGTGCAGGATGTTCACCTGGTCCCTCATTTTAGGGACTAAGCCTGTTTCGCAGTTTACAAGAAAGAACCAAGAAATCTGGGTTCCTAGGATGTGGAAACACTTTTTTTTAACCTGTTCAAAAATGAGCTGAAGGTGGGTTCGACATGAAGGCCCAAGAGACCACTGTTACTTTCTCCAGTGTCCACTGCTTTCCTCTCTGAACAGAGAATTCTTTGTGCTCTAGCGTATCAGAGAGAGGGCGGACTGCTTTCTCTCAGCGCCTCCACCCAACCCCTCCTTTGTGCACCCAGGGTCCTTTAACCGGCCGGTGGTTGTGTTTCCTCTTGGGGGAGGGACGGGACAGAACCGACCCGAGCTGCAGTTCCTTCGCTCTGCCTCTGAGATTTTCTCATCCAAACCTCAATCACGTAGGATTGCGTAGAGAAGAGAAAAGGGGAGAGACAGAAGACGGAGAAGGGGGAGAGGGGTGACGGGAGGGAGGGAGAAGAGAGTCTGGGAGCGGAGGGCGCGAGGGAGGGGAGGAGGCCCCGAGCGCGCCGCGCTTCCTTGCGCTCGGGGAGCCTGGCCCCCAGCCCGGCCCCACCTGGGCGCTCCCGAGCTCTCGGCGGGTGGGCGAGCAGTGAGAGAGGCACTCCTGCGGCCGC